GCCGCCCCCGCCCCCGCCGCCGTTGTCACTGGCGCCGCCCCCCTCCCCCCACCCCGCCCCCTTAAAGGGGCCGCGCGCCTCTCCCTCCCGCCGCCTCTCCCCACCGCCGGCTTTGTCCGGCTGCGCCGTCCCCGCGCAGGAAATTGCCCCGTCCCGTGGAAGGAAAGGGAGTGTCCGCCGGCCCCCTCCCCACTCTGCCTTTCGCACCCGGGTCGATCGCACCTGACGCCCACCCTGGGAAGGTGGCTTTCGGATGCCTCCAAATTCTCCTCCTCCTCCTCCCCCCTTTCTCCTCCTCCCTTTCTCCTTTCTCCTTTCTCCTTCTTCCCCCTCCCGAAATGTTTCCCAAAGCAGACCTAACCTAGGATATCAGTTGGGTGGTGGCTTCACTCCTTTAATATCCCCCGGTATTCTGGAAAGCAAGCCAAGCTGGCCTGCCTGAACTTTATTTATAAATTCAAGTTGATATCAGAGGGGGGCATGTAAGCAGAACAGGGATCAAGCCATACCCTATAAAGCCATTATAAGCAGCTATCCGAGCATCTTGGGGTTACTGTCAGCCTTCCCAGGTAGACCAAGCAGGAAACACAACCAGATGAGTTAAGTCTTCTGCATCATAAGGCTATATTAATAGAATCTTGCAAGTCTGAAAGTACAATTCTCCTTTACAACTCCTTAAATTAGGGAGGGTCCCTTCTGAGCCTCTTGCCCCGTCCATTATCCTGCTGTGGGCTAGGCTCCCTCTTATCCGGCCATTCCCTAGGCAGGGTCTCTGGGCCCCGTCTCCCAAGGTCATTCCCACACACTATTACAGATGTATACCTTATATTTTTATAATGCAACCTGCAGAGTCGGTCTGAGATTAATTATATGTGCAACAAATATCCCCACCAGAAGGTAGATTACAAGCACACACGTCCACAGTTGCAGGCGTGTCACATGACAAATACTGCATGAGATATACAGCGCATGGTATTTATACATTTGCAATATTTGTGTCTAAATAGAGATTCACTTATGCTGTTGCGACTGAATCAATCTGGCCGCACTGGGTGTTCTTCCTAGTCGGGAGAAGCGGTGCTGGGTGCTATCAGTTGCTCGCCTCTCCTGCGCCAAGGTGTCACATCTGTGTCTGGCCCATTTAAAACTATTTTCTAAATCCAGGAAGGGCAAAGGTCTAGGATGGTTGCTGGGGACAGACAGGGTGGGGAGAAAGAGACGTTTTAACAACAACAGCACATCAAGGAGAATACGCCTTGTTCCTGTATTGTCCCGCATTGGATTTCAGGAGTCGATCATGATTAAAAGGCGGTTTCGACCGTGTTTCTTTACCCAGGATTGAATTTCAGACAAGTCCCTTCTGTCTAAAGTGACAGAACATCCACAGCTTGGTGAACTTTGCGGGAATGTTGACACACGTGGATTGCATTTACGTTTACATTCAATGCAAATTTAATGTTGACACCCTTCGATTGCATTTGTGGTCGATGGCATCAGTGGGGAACAAGGAAAAGAAATCCCAGCATTTATGGTTTAGAAAATCTGCCCCCCTTCTGGCATTTTTTGCCAAGCCTTTTGCAGCTGACAAACCCACCAGCTTTGCTCCAGGGGCAGAAGGGGCCACAGAACAACAGGTTCTTTCTTGGCGTTTGGCTGCCGCCGTCGTAGCCCTTAAAA